ACATTTGGAACTAGACTTTGCGTTGTAGCTTTGTTTTTTGTTCATCTTTTACATTTGAATTTAGACTATGCAATGCAGTGCCTGTTCCTAGTTCTACTTTTACATTTAGATTTAGATTTTCCAATGTAGTGTCTGTTTTTGGTTCTACTTTTACATTTGGATGCATACCCTGCAATGCATTGTCTATTTTTGTAGTTCTATTTTCCTATGGGTTGTCTTTAAGTTTCCACGAGATGCAAGCATTGCATTCCACCAATGCAAACATAATAGAATGTTACAGCTTAATTTTCATGTATTCCATAATTCTGAATATAAGTACATACAATCCTTGTTACATAAAGAAACAATAAAGGAAACAATAAAGGACACAAATATATCCTTCATAAAGCATAACTCTAATATTTACACAATATTTACATTCCCTTTCTCCAAAATATTGACTCATGCCAATACTTCCCCTCAAGTTGGTGCATAGATATTACACATGTCTAACTTGATAAGTGAGTCATCAAAGCTCCTACTACACACGACATGAGTAAGAACATCTGCAAGTTGCTTTTCAGAGTTCACGAATGGTATTGACACAATCTTCTTCTCAAGCCTTTCTTTAATAAAATGTCGATCAACCTCAACATGCTTAGTCCTATTATGTTGTACTGGATTCTCTGCTATTTCTCTTGCTAACTTATTGTCACAATACAATTTCATTGCCTCTTTTTGCTTGAAATTGAGACCCCAAAGCAACTTTCGTAAACAAAGGATCTCACACACTCTATGCACTATGCCTCTGTATTCGGCTTCCACGGAAGACCGTGACACCAACTTCTGTTTCTTACTTCGCCAAGTAACCAAATTACCTCCAATGAATGTAAAATACCCATACGTAGAACGCCTCTTAGTCACATCACTTGCCCAATCGGCATTAGTAAATCCCTCAATCCTCATATGTCCATGATGTTCATACAAAATCCCCTTCCCGGGAGCAGACCTTAAATACGCCAAAATTTGCATAACTGCTGCCATATGATCCACACTCGGTGAGTGCCTAAACTGACTCACCACACACACTGCATAGGCAAAATCCAAACGAGTGTGGGACAAATAAATTAGTACCAGTTTCTGATATCTGCCTTTGTCAACCGGTTTCTGATTTGGATAAATCCCTAAATAATGCTTCTCTACAATAGAAGTGTCCACAGGTTTACATCCAAGCATACCTATCTCCTTCAAATAAGTCCAAAACATATTTACATTGAGACAAGAAAATACCTTTAGACGAATGAGCTACTTCTACTCCAAGGAAATATTTTAAATCTCCCAAATTTTTCATCTCAAATTCGGCGGTAAGACTCTCTTCCAGTTTTACCATCTCTTTCGAATCATCACTTGTTATTATCATGTCATCCCCATAAATGCTTAAGGCAGTCACTTTACCACTTCTCCATTTTACAAACAACGTGTGGTTGAAGTGATTATGGTAATATCCATTCCTTCTCATGACTTGAGTAAATCTACCAAACCATGCACGAGGTGATTGCTTAATAAAGAGACTTTCGCAACCTACACACTCCGGTTTTCCTTCCGGCATTATATCCTGGAGGAAAATCCATATACATTTCTTCTTCCAAATGCCCATGAAGAAAAGCATTTTTTTACATCAAATTGTTTCAGTCGCCAATTTAAATTTGCAGCTAATTAGATAAGAACAAGTACTGTATTCATCTTGGCTACTGGGGAAAAAGTTTCTTGGTAATCAACACCATACGTTTAAGTATAACCTTTTGCCACTAACTTTGCTTTATACCTGTCTATTGATCCGTCGACCTTGTATTTAATTGTAAAGACCTATCTACACCTAACTGATTTTTTTCCCTTTTGGTAGTTCCATTACTTCCCATGCATCATTTTTATGTAGTGCCATCATCTCTTCATCCATTGCAACAGCCCCATTTAGGATCCTTCAAGGCCTCGTCAACTCAGGTTGGTACTTGGATTGTTTCCACACTATTCACCCATGCTTGGCATTCAGGCGCAAGGTTTTTGCATGACACATAATTTGCTATTGGATACTTACTTTTCCCTCGGGAGAAAACCTACCAAGAGGAACACCACGATTTTGCTTTGGTGGCAACTTATATATACTTACAACATTATTTGGATTAGTTACATGAGCATTTATAGTACTTACCTTAGGGATATTAGAGAAGACACATTGGATGACACTATCGAGCTAGAAAGAGAGGGTGATGTGGGTTCGGCAGGAGGCAATTCTTCCCTTGATGTACTAAGTTTGGCAATAGCCAGCTGCTGGACTGTTGTAGTTTCCTCGGCAGGACCTTGCCGATAACCTGCACCTGTTTCGGCAGGCAGCAGCTGAAGGCATGTATCAATCTCGGCAGTTTCTTACTAACACTGTTGCCCTATTTTTATCATTTTCATCAACACATGCTCCCCCTGAACTGCATATCACATCTTCTGGTATCTCTAACCACCCAAGATCACCCTGGTCACCACTAGTGTTCTCCCCCTGATGATCTGAAGGTGATGGGATCGAAGAATAAAAATACTCTGATTCAGAAAAAGTAACATCCATGGTCACATACATATGTCGAGTTTTAGGATGATAGCACTTATACCTTTTCTGTTGGGAGGCAAACCCAACAAAAACACACTGAAGGGCACATGGATCCAGTTTGCAACAATGAATCTTGTGAATATGAAGATACGCTACACATCCAAACACACGAGGAGTAAGGGTATTGATGGATACTACGGGCCGTCAATACTTGAAGAGGTGTACGAAATTCCACAACCCGAGATGGCATACGGTTAATCACATACATGACATAGGTAATGGCATCAGGCCAAAGCCGTTTAGGTATGGACACACGAGCAGTTTCCAAGATATGACGATTCTTTCTCTCAACAACCCCATTTTGTTTCGGAGTATGGGGACAAGTAGTTTCATGGAGAATTCCTTGATCTCGAAGAAAAAGGGACAATTCAGAACTAATATATTCACCTCCATTATTAGAATGGAGAATTTTAATAACAGAGGAATATTGTGTTGTGATCATCTGAGAGAAAGACCGAAACACCATACTAACATCACTTTTATTCTTCATCACATATATCCAAGTCATACGGGTACAATCATCAACAAAGGTAACAAACCATTTAATTTTGGAAAAAGTACTAACAGGAGAGGGACCCAAACATCAAAGTGCACAACATCAAATGATAACAATCTTTTATTCATACTAGGAGAAAACGAAACGTGATGACTCTTCACGAGAATACATACTTCACAATGTAAGTCTGATTATTTTATTTCATGAAATAAATTAGGCAACATACGCCTTAAATAACCAAACGGAGCATGTCCTAACCGACGATGCGATAACCAAACTTATTGCAAATTATTGGTACGGGATGCTCGAACTTCATTAGCTCTGCCAAGAACGACGTCATCCACATAATACAACCCCTTTCTCTTAGTACCAGACCTAATTATCTCCTTGGTCTGAATATCCTAAAGTAAACAAAAGAGTAGATACATAAGTACAACACAATTTAATTGCTCAGTAACTTGAGGAATAGATAACAAATTATGAGGACAACGATGGAACAAGCAAGCATGATGAAGGGAGAGGGCGGTGTGAGGTCCACGGTACCGGCCCCAATAATCAGTGCAGTGGTGCCATTTGTCATTGTTACACACTTCCGATGAGTCGTTGTCATACAAGTAAACAAATTTTTATCAAAAGTCATATGGTCTATCGTACCAGAGTCCAGAATCCAACCTGTATGATGTTCAATGTCAAAGGCTAAAAGAACACACCCCATGCTACCTGTATTGAACAGTGATTCACTAAGATTAGTCCTAATCAACAATCCTTGACTTGGATGTCCAGGGGTAGGCACGCTTCCTTGGTACTAAGTGCGGCAGTGGCAATGGATGCATGGCTCCCACTTGCTCCATTAGCAGCTCGCTCCTTTACACGTAACTTTTCTTCAATTGTTTTTCACTAACCTAACCCATGTGGCATGCTTCATTGACCTATGTATAATTATTATAATTTTTTTTATTATTATGTCCAAAATAAAGCTGGACAATTTTTATATCGCTAAATTATTAAAAATTATATTGACCTTTGGCTAAATAACCTTTATTATAGAGTAGTGTAATCCACACACCATTTTTACTTCTCGCACCTCTCTCAATTTTTAACCGTTAGATCAAATGAATTAAAGAAGATCAATAGGCAAAAATTAACAAGGATGTGTGAGAGGTAGAAATGAGTGTGAATAGCACTATCCTCATTACAATGCCACCGTTACTGTTGGTTGAAAACGTAAAACTCCATCTCGTATGATCCTTGTACTTATAAATACGGGATCAGAATGTGAAAGTTTGAGAAGAAGGTTCATATGCCAAAGAGTTGGCTGCAACAGCTGCAACAATTGAGCTTAGAAACTTGGTTGAACAAGTAACCAAGCCCCTTTATCAAATGCTGCTGCTAAGGAGGTTCAGTGCCGATCATATTGTCAGAGATCTACTTCATATGATTTCAAGAGAAATAGCTTAAATGGTCCTCGAGGCCAGGAAGGGCCAGATGTAGTTTTAGCTGCCCAAGAGATGCTTCTCTACGGAAAAAGAAGCGTCTGAGACAGATCAGACAACATGATTTACAGAAGAATGTTGGACAAAGTAAAACAACGTCGAGTTGATTTGGACAACGAGCTGACAAACATGAAATCGAGAAAATTCTGGAGATGTATCACTTGACATAATGGCTGGCGGTTCAGATGTTATGTTCAAAGACGATGAAATCTGCAAAAACCTGAATGAGATGAGATGAGATAGGTACATTACAAGATTTAAACCAGCATCCTTCTAAAATCCAGGAAGAGCTTTGGAAACGATAGTAGACGAGATGCACCTTTCTTGTAACTCAAGATTCATGCAACTAGTTGTCAGTGGAGATGGATCAGGGGTGTAGCTATACATATGAATAGAATCTATATAACGGATATCTGTATTATCGGGTACAAGGGCTACATCATGTAACTTTGTAGGTTCTACGACATACAAAACTAACCTCTCTTTTTCTTCTCTGCTGGAGTAACAGACAAAATAACTGTTGTAAAACTCCTAGGAGCATATAAGTTGTATGTATCGGCTACATGAACTTGTACAAAGCTATTTCCCTTTCTACGCTGTCAGTCTCTGGACTTGAAGCCTTCACTGTGTACCACCTTATTGATCGAAAGCAGGACAATGCTGTTCCAGGATACCCAAATTGGCTACAAAAGGCTGATAAATACCGTCACAAAGTTCACGATCCACTCTGAAAAAAGAGTTTTCCAATGAGAAAACCCTCACCACATACATTAAACGAAAAACAAATTTATTAAACAACAGGTCACGACTTTGAAAGTCTTTTGCAATTTGTAGGAGCCCATCCAATTCTCTGGTTCTCGTTATCATATATCACCATTTTATCTTGCATAGTAATATCTGTAAATAGGAAACAAAAGATAAGATGTTGAACGCAGAACAAAAAGAAAAGGCCAAATTGCACCAATACTCCGTGCAGTTTACTCGGATTTTCCAATTCGTCCCTATAGTATGTTTTGTTAATTTTTCATCTTTGGGGTTTCGTTTCAATTTCACTTTAGTCCAATCTGTCAACAAAATGGAAGGACTTTTGCCTCATTTGACGGATTGAACATACGGTGGCGGCAAAATGAAACTACAAGGACAAAAATGCAACAAAAGAAACCACATGGATGAAAGTGGAAAAATTCAAATAAACTAAAGGGACTAATAGTAAAATTCAGCAAAAAAAAAAAAAAAAAAAAAGACAGAAGGTATTTGTTTTGTTAGTATTAGCTACCTCCAATGATATTCATACTTCCCAGTCCCACTTCAGTGCCATTCAAAATCCCCAAGCATACATTGCCATGTTTCTGATGACGAAGAAATTGTTAAATGTTCCATTTCAAGTAATTTTTTCTCAATTACTAAGCGAAAGAAAAAAAAAAAAAACAAAAGGAAAATAGGGTGCTCACTGTAACTATAAGATAAGCATCGGGGGATAACTGCAGCTGAACATTCTTAGCTTTAGTAAAGCTCAGTGCCAAGGGCTTGAAAAAGTTCTTTGCGTCGCCAACAGATTTGAAAGGTTTGCTACCTTTCCAGCAAATTGGGAGGGATTGATCCTCAGTTGCATACTTCAGAGGCTTCCCATTTAAATCATTTCGCACCTGATTGCATGAATTGATGGTTAGTTTTATGTAAGTCATTAACAAGTAACTAAACTAAGAACGGTCTCCTTTGTTTCTTTCTCACCAGATTAATGAGTGCCTTGTAAGCTTGTGAATTGAAATAAGTGTAACGAAGCTCCACACAATTCATGGTCGATAGACAACCGGGCTGTTAGACGGCGCCTTTACCACCGCGAGGAGCGAACCTGCCGACTGTTCCATTCCAAGATGACAATCCCTATCCGCGTAGGTCCAAGTGGGAGATGAGTAGTCCGTTCTCTATGGTATATTCGAGAGAATAATGTGTCACCTGTTCAACTGACACATGTCAGACTTTGATTATGCAGAGCATTATCTCAATGGCTTTGATCATATGCAAAACGTAACCTGCGCTCTCAAAATTCCCTCACTTATGCAGGTACAAAGGAGGTATAATTTCAAGAGCCATAATTCCTAAGTCCTACTCTCACCCCATTCAGGACACTCGGTGCTCTAGTTACCGGAAGGTCTACAACATTATAGCACGGTCGTTCACAATGGTCTCTTAGTACACGACCTGACTTCTCTCATGGCAGACATAGGGCCTGGTACAAAACAATCATTAAGAATCACCCTCCCCTCCGGAAGATTATACGCATTAGTCCGTTCACCTGCACCTTTGCCCACATATTAAATTGACCTGTATCCACACACACAATTTACAGCAAGCTTTCACACTAACTACTAACACATATTGGTACGTTAGATGAATGTATTACCTCATCTTATCTCGCATCATAGCTGCCCTAGTCCTTTTATAATGACTCAAGACAAAATCAAATTATACTCCTGAATGGCCTGTCATTTTTACGACTTGGTGGCACGTTTGCTAGTTTAAACACCCAAGACTTATATATTTTTTTGTGACTTCCACTATTCCAACGCTACCGTGATCAATCTAAGGCGCACAAATGAATAACTAAGATTATATATATAAACTTTAAATCTCTCTTAGAACTCAGAATTTACATCGTATAACTCTACCGAGAGTGTAATGCCTTATTATTGCTAAGTCGTACAAAGGCAATTTTTAATCACTCTATAGGGTTAATTACGGCCATTGTGTTTTTGAAACTAAGAGCAAGTTCCAAACCTCTCTAACTATAACCTGATGGACACAATAATTCATTACATCACGATCATTGTTAATTCAATGTGTGGAAGTGGAAAGCAAATCAATTATGGTGTCCTAAGAAATAGGCTTCAAACTATCTTGTTCAAAGAAAAAAGTCCTCAACAAGACCCTACAAACGCAAAACCTTCACCCAACACTTTAAAGCTGTAAATCTTGTCCAATAAATTAGTTTTCAAGCTTTGTGCCCAACCTCCTGCGAACAAAACATGCTTGCCACTTGCCTAACTCAAGGACCATTACAAATTCAAATACAACAAAATATCAACAGGAATATAACTAAACAGGGCAAAAAATTTAGAATACAAACATTAATGCGTTACAACATTAGACATAGGCACAAAAGCAAGAATTCAAGTAGTACAGCCGAGCTCTGTCAAGACCACTATCTTTGCCACCACAATTATTAACAACTCGTTCATACACGATGTTTATTTCAATTGGTAAGAGCCGTTTCAGGTCACAATTGTTATGCTCATCGTCAACTTTGACTGTTTAACGACCAAATTCTTTTTTCGAATACACTTTTCATTAGAAAAGCTATATATATGAGAGAGGATTCAAAAAAAAATCAGAGTCATACACGGCTAGACAGAGAAGAATCGTTCAAACTTCGTACACCATTGGCAATATAACCTAACAAACTTAAAATTTTTCTCCGTCTATTATTATATTTATTGCTACTCCTACCACAACTTTCATTTTATAGATACTCTAATATCAATCACTCAATACTTCTGATATCGTTATGACGGACCATAAGGCAACCCCGGAATGAATGTACCCGAGAACGCATGGTTCGGAAATTATCACTCGGAAGCAAAAAATTTGTCAGCTTTCACATTGACTAGTTACCAACCCAGGTTTTGGGCATGAGCAACAGTACATTTTCCGGGTGCAATCCATATCGCATCCGTGTCCGAGCAGGTTTTTGATAGGCTTTCTGGCTGTCGGTCATAATTCCAAATTTCAAATACTTTTAAACACTCATTTAACTGAAATGATGGATCGACTTATCGAGAGAGATGGAATGCACCACAAAGAGAGTGTCCATTCAGTCTTTCAATAGCAGCCTTATCATGCGTTCTGCTGCGGAGTCTTTCTTAAAAAAGCTTATGCTCAATCAGCTGCGCCCTTGTGTGCCAAACGCCTCTCGACACCGGCGGCATCTTTCCACCCCTTACACACTCGCAATGTCGTGGGACCCCTTTCACTCCAATAGTCGTGGGCTAAATCTGTTGAATCATGTCTTCAAACAGGCTCTCTCAGTAATAACCCCACATACACGTAGACTCTTATCCCTTAGGATAGCAACCCCACCAAAGTATCGAGGACCAGTGGCATACATTATCTGCGACAAGAACTTCAATTGTGCAGAAGCGCATTGTTCTGCTAACTGCCCCCCAGAACCATTTGTTATCAATATCCGCGGTCCGAACCCCGCTGGCCCTGCCAGGTTTATTTTCTGAGGATGATGGATATACCTCATTTAATGGTTAGAGTGGCAGATTACTGTGGTGGTACAAGTGTGTGCCAGTTATATCGTTAATCTAATTCTTGCCATTAACTCGAATCATTCTCTCCTTCGTGCCTATAGTCCAAAAACAGAATCAATTCATACAAAATTAAAAATACAAGATTTAATTTTATTTCATATATTGGTGATTATGGCACTGACAGAATCTAACAACAGATTATACCCTCATAATTCAATTTGGGCATCCACGTTACCAACAAATCCGTTTACCCTAAAGAGCTATTACCTGTATATTGAGATTAAATTAAGGGATCTAATGTACTTGAGTCCCTTCTCGATCAACTCTCATATTTTGCAACTTCTCTAATCTTCTGTATGCTAATTATAGTTAGAACAATTGCGACTTGTACAGGTAACAGCAATGTTACAGACGAGATTAATCTACGTTTGTCTACCAATCAACATTATAGAAACATTTTCATTACATACTGGCATTTATTTGAATCAAATCGAAATATTTTCATGCAGAATTTCATGCGAATAAGTGGAAAAATTGTAATATACAAAGAGAATATTGAGCATTTATTTATTTTAAGTTCAACAAAATCTAGATATTACAGAAAAAAAGATCAGTGAGACAAGGCCTTTCTGAACCGTTGAGTGCACGTCCTCTCTCGGACCATTTAGTTGTTCCAAATGATAATACTTTAAATCCACTTGCGATTGATTGAAACAATGGTTTTGTGAGAGATTCGAAGGAAGTGACTCACAACTTCAAGGACCAAACAAATACTTTATCCAAAATCTCCCATTACACATAGGTTGCCAAATAATTTATATTGCGTTCTTGGGAAGGAGTATGATCATTACATCGTTAGGCCATTACTTAAGGCCGATGCAATTTACGGGCCCGGACAGAAAAACCGTCTCACTCCTGTGGAAATTGTCTACCCTTCGAAATTCCACCGGAAAACATGACCTAAAATTGATGTTAAGGGGTTTTCAATTCAGACTCTACGCAAATTCACATAACTCCATCCTGGCCCTACGGCTCCATCCAATTCTCTCAAGAAAAACCTCTCGCGAACTTAATGTATAACTGGCACTCCCAACTCATACCGAACACATGTGAGGGAGATGCACTGTATATATTCCCAAGCAGAGATTGATAAAGAAGATTTGAAAAAATTATCATGAGCTTATCGTAATGACATACTTCGGGCGGGCATGCGCTTAGGGTGTATAGTCATGACTTGCACATTATTAACCATTAATCGAATTAATCAACACATAACAACCAATAAGAGTAATTGAACCGAACAAAAACCAAAGACAAACCCCACTAAAAATCTGTAAATCGCAAATGGAAATTAAACTATCACTACAAGGCTTATACGTTAATGTGTGCCAGCAAAGCTTGTGATATGAGAGCCAATAATATCAGAAGACCTACCCAAGGACGATTGGTTCTCGCGTAAATAACATATGAAGTCATAGGCCAGAGATGATTAAAACGTTCCGTGTTGCAGGGTGGAGGTGAAAAACATTACAAGTTCGCGTAGGTAAGAAAACCAAGTATTTCTCTGACGGAACTGAGGCCATCTGGACGTGTCGTATTAAGGATCTCGCGGAGATAGCTGGAAACCTAGGCTTCCTTCAGATTGAACCGACACACTGGATATAGATTCCGCGGGATCGCAGGCTCAAAATCAGGGGGTCGGGGAGCCAGGGGGATTCTGGTCATTATGGTTGCTTCGTGCGCTTTTCATCTTCCTCGTTTTCGTTCTTTTCATCTTTCCCTCTCTTTCATGCCCCTCGAATCTGGGTCCTCTTTCTCTTCCAATCGGTGGGTTACGATCAAAATTCCAGAAAAGGGTTCGAAGGTTTTGGATCAGAGAAACGCAGGAATTCAAGAAAAAAGGAAATGGCCCTTGAGAGCTTCGAGTCTCAGGTCTACAAGTCTTAAAGTCTACTGGCGTGTCAGCGTTGGAAATCGGGTGTTTGGAAGTTTCCGAGAGAGCGAGAGAGAGAAACACCCGCGTCGAAAACGCGGTAGATGCGAAAATGTCCAAGTTACCCATTACATGTTAATGTGACTCTTAGTTTCCGAAGGGCAAATTGGTCATTGAATTTTTTTTTGGTCAATATCCGAAGACTGTTAGTTTTTTTATGAGTTTCGACTCCATACCAAGTTGAAGGCGGAGATCCTAACCACGACGGGAAAATTCAACCTGTCTTTCCCTTTGTTTTAAGTTGTCATTTGATATTTTAGTCTTTTAGTTATGATATTGATGGAAAAAAAAAGGATAGGTCAGTGGGTATAACAGCTCTATATTAGATTCATTTACCTGTTGTCTGTTGATTTTCAGTTTGAGAATTGTTAGTAGCTGTTTAAAAGGTCATCAATATTTCTTTTTCTTTTTTTTTGTCTCTAGTGGATCGTGACTTTCTTACCGTGTTTTTATTTTAAATGTTGTTGAAAGTAATACTATTTAGACACAAA